CGCACCAGCAGTGGACGGACGTATTCCGCGAGAGCGAGCCGGACGGCGGCGGCGCGCCGGGCTCGGAGCCGGCCTGCGACGTCACACTTTACGCCTGGCGCGGCGCCGCGGCCGCGGCCGCTAGCGGGACCTCTCCGGCGGCGGCGGTGGCGAGCCCGGAGGAGGAAGGGGCAGGCAGCGGTAGCGGCGGCGGCTGGCGGCGGGAAGCGTGCGCGCACGGCGGGGCGCACAGCTTTGTCGCGGCGGCGCGCGCGGGGCCGCCGGGAGCCGGCGGCGGCGGCGGCGGCGGCAGCGGCGGGGGCGGCGTTGAGGACGGGGGCGACGGGGGCGAGGCGCTGCTGCTGGGCCTGTCAGATGACGTGGACTGCGCCGTCTTCCGCATATCACCCGTAGCTGACGACGACGCAGAGGGGTCTGCGGCCGCGGCGGGGGGCGCCGAGGGGGCGGCAGCGGCGGCCGCCGCGAGCGGCGGCCCGCGGCTGGCGGCGCGGCACGAGGGGACTGTGCCGGCGCTGGCGTACGTGGTGTCTGGGAAGACGCAGCGGCGGCACGTGCTCATAGGTAACTGTGCACGCATGTTCGCTGGGAGGGTGCGTGTGTTGGTGGGGTTGTGGTAGGCCGGTGCGTGTGTGTGTGAGTGTTTGTGTGCATGTGGTGTGTGTGTGTTTTTGAGTGGGTGTGTGAGTGTGCGTGTGCATGCGCGAGTGCGTGTGTTCATTTGCATTTGCAAGCGCACGCACTCCCAAGCGGCGATGGCGGCGGCAGCGCGCCGCTGTTGGGGCACCTCCATATTTCCCCGGCCAGCCCGCGTCCCGTCCCACCACTAAGGAACACCCGCCCAACACCACACACCCCCCACCTCCCGGCTGCCGCCCCAGAAAAGCTGCGGCCGGCCAAGCGGGCCCCCTCATACCAGCCTCCCTGTCCGCCCCCTGCCGTCTCACCCCCGCACCCAAACCCTCGGCGCGCAGGCGACCCCAGCAGCCCCGTGGCCGCAGTGCTGGTGGAGGGGCAGCGCTACGCATACGTTTACGGCGCCGTGCCGCGGGACCAGAAGCACGGCAGGCAGCAGGTGCGCGGGAGCTGCGGCCTGAGGTGTGCAGGTGCAGCCAAAAGTGTCGTCGAATCGGGGCAGTCGGCAGCCAGATCCTGTGCCCCCAAGGGCGGGGCTGCATTGCGCGTGTCTGGCCGCAGCGGCGGCTGGCGGCCCCGGACTTGAGGGGGGTGCTGGGCCGAAGAAAATTGGAAGCCTTACGGAGGGCAATTGGTCGCGCTGGCACAACAGACCGGTGGTGGGGTGTGAGTTGATGATGCCAGCGGGCCACCAGGGGCACCTGGGATGCCGGCTGTCCTCCAGCCACCACAATGGCAGTGGAACGCCACACACGTGCTCATGCAATGTACATCTCGAAGCTCCGCTGACCGCGCGTGGCCACGCGCGCGGCCTTGACATCATCCAACTTCAGGTCGTCGATATGCAGCTGGCAGCCGGGGACCGAGTGCTGGGGGCCGCGCTGGTCTCGAAGCCGCGCGGCGGGGCCGGCGGCGGCGGCGCGGCGGGCGGGGGACGGCGCGGGGTAGGAGTGCAGCTGCTGGTCCTCACGCGGACCGAGGTGGTGAGCTTCCAGCTGGCGTGACGGCGGCGCCCTGCGGTAGAGAATTGCGGTAACACACAAAGCCTCGCGGCTGCATGCCTTCCCGCTGCTGCAGACCATCCCTCCTGTCCTGGCCAGGCGACGGGGTTGCTTCCCATTTGGTTGTTTGTCATGAAATGAAAGGGTTTGCGAGCTGTGTGCGATGGGCATCGGGACTCTCGTGTGCTGTGCATTCACAGCAGCCGCGCGGCGGCACCAGGCCTTTAGTGGAGGGCGGCGCAGGTAGAAAAACTGTGTGTGAGCCGGATCAGCGACCGCGGTGTTGCCATGTGTGCGACGACGAAGCTTCAGCGGCACCAAGGGGCCCTGCTTGGCGTGCGGTCCATACATGACACGCTTCCCGCCTTCCCTGTTGCGCACAGCCCCGTGCCGCATGCGGTGCATCGCTGCCAGCAAAGGGTGGGCATGGGTGACATCGCATGTGCATCAGCAGGAGATGAAGGCGGGCAGCAGACCGGAGACGCATGGTAGCAGGCGGTGCAGCACCGGAAGAGCTTGGTGGCGGCAAGCCACAGGGAGTGGCGTTTGCGTGTGGGAGCGCTACACAGGTGCATGTGGGAGAGCTGAATTACACGGGGTGGCGGCACCATGGGATTATAGCCAGAAAGGGCATGATTCAAGCATCTAAATACATGCAATGATAACGCGGCAGCCATTCATCCAGTGCGGCCAGTCGAAGCAAGCTGCAGCACAGGCAGGCAGCGACAAATGACGTCACTCGCCGCATCACCCGTCGACCTGCATGGCCGCCGCCCCCCCGCCGCCCGCGGCGTCCCCGCCCCCGCCGTCGTCGTCGCCGGCGCGCTGCAGGTCCTCTATGCACTGCAGCAGCAGAGCAAACGCGCGCCGCTTCTGCTCGAGCGCGGCCGCGTGGCGGCGCTGCTCTGCGTGCAGCGCGTCGATGCGCGCGCGCTCCTCGTCGATCGCGGCCTGGGTGGTCGCGCGCGGCGGCTGCTCCGCTATAAGGCCGCGTATGACCTGCGGGGCGGGGTGGGCAGGGTCGGGGCACGTGCGAGGGGCGGCGGCACGGGCGGTGCAAGGGGAAGACCGGCGCTAAATCACCGCAGGCCAGCACGTACGTGGAAGCCGTACGTGGAAGGGCGCGTGCGCATGCGCGCTCCCATTGGGACCCCGCAGCCTGCTGCTCAGCCAGCGAGCAGACGCTGCAGAGCTTGGGTCGCTCTGACAGGCGGCAGCACCCTGCCCTGCTGCCTGGACCCGACTGCACCCCGACGTGGCGCCGCGCCGCAGCCACGCCCCTGGGCCGGGCCCCCCACCTCGTACTCCTCGTTGTGCTGCCGCACCACCCGCGCCGCCTGCAGCTCCTGCTTTTTCGCCTCTATGTCTGCCAGCGCCTGCGGGGACGCAGGGGGCCGGGGAGCAGGCGCGCAGGGGTTGTCTGGGCGAGGCTGCGCAGCACTTGTGTGTTTGAGTCTGCTGGCTGGGCCTGCGAAAGCCAGCCTTTGACAGCCCGTCTGGCCCCTCAGAGCACCCTGCCGGCCCGCCCTTCTCAACAGCGGCCCGCCTGCCCTCCTGACTTCCAGTGGACTCCACCCGCCGCATTTACCCCCTTTAGCCCCACCACAACCCCAAAAAAATCAAAAACACCGCAACGGCCGTTGCTGCCGGCCCCAGCTCACGACACGTCGCCCCGCACCTGCTGTATCTGCCCCTCCAGCTGCTGCTGCTTTGCTGCGTACCCCTCCTGTTCGCGCTCGTTCGCCTCGTTGGCTGCCCGGAAGCGATTCAGCTGCGGCGCCGCCGAGCCAGAGTGGGTGCGGGCCGGCAACGTTGAGACAGGGGGGAGAGAGCGGGTCAGGAACATGCTTCGGGTGCCACGCTGTTAGTCGGGGTAGTGTTGCACTGTCTGTGAGCCAGCTGCTCCTCGCTGCGACAGCGGGTAAGCCACTCGATGAAACCTCCTCCGTCCCCCTTGCCGCTGCGTGCACTGCTACCGTATCCGCTGTCTGTCGCTGCAACAATACAAAGTCACCCTCGCCGTCCCTCACAGTTTTGTGTGTGCAGCCCGTCTGCTCTGACAATGCCCATGTGACCCCCACCACTTCGCACACCCTGGAACAAATTCTAGGTTCGAACCCCACCTGCAGCTCGAGGTTATCCATGTCGCGCTGAAAATTCGCCTGCGCCGCCAGCACAGCCTCCAAGCTGCCGTTCTGCGCCGCATCCGACACTGCCAGGAAGCTGCGGGGCGCGCGGGATCGCGGGCGCGCGTGTGTGTGCGGTCGGTGCAGTCGGCGGCGCGCGTCTCGCAACGGCACGCCTCTGGAGCGGCTTGGTTCGCGACGATTGTTTTGGACCAAGCAGCACCTCTCCCTCGCCTCGGCCATGCAGCTGTTTTGTGTCCAAGCTCGTCGTATGCTGCTGCATCTCGTCCTGGGGAGTGCTTACCTCTGCGCCACGGCCTTGAACAGCGGCTGCTTCCCCTTGAGCAGCGCCGAGACGTGGGTCAGGAGGCGCACGCTGATGGCGGCGTCCTCCTCTGCCAAGCTCTGCGCCTGCTTGCTACCGACGGCCGGCGCCGCGGGCGGCATGGCTGCACTGCTTTTGGCGTGTGTGCACCCCCAACAAATCGTGCTTACAGGTGCTGGAGACAAGAGCTGGACACAGATCTCTGGCGTCTGTTCCGATGCAGCCAGTACAGTCAAGCACTGCTCGCTAGTTGTGTGAGTTGATTGTGTCCAAGAGCAAGTCAGGCGTGCTCCAAGGGTTGATCTGGCCTCTACGATCTAAGGAAGACTGCGGTGTTTGGTCTACAAAACGGGTTGATGCTCGGCGTTTGATACTCGCGGAGACGTGTTACAATAGATACGTATTAGGCAGACCTGATGCCTGCACCTGGTGACACAGCCGCTGCTGCACCTGCAGACCAGGTGGCGGACACGAGCTCGCTGCAGCAAGATGCTGACGCAGCCAACCTGCTGGCAGCTTTCTTGGCCAAGAGGGACGCACCCGATGTGCAGTCGCTGCCCAAAGCCGACCTGATGGTGGTGTGCGGTAGCTCAATCCTAGCAACAGCGTGAGCGGGAAAGCAACGGCGATGGCGCTTGGGCCACCGCTGCCCGCACACGGCATGCCAGGCCGCACCCGCCTGCGCGGGATGATGGCCGTTGCTGCTTCTTTGTTCAACCTCACAAATGCCAAGGCGTTCCAAGATGGGGGCAGCCCATTGCCTGGCGTCTAGGCAGCGCAGTTGCCGCTCCACCAGTTGCGTGCACCCGTGCCCACCCTCCTCGCCGCAGGTATGTCGGGGTCCGTGCGCTGCAGGCTGGCACCGTGCCCAAGCTCCTCGTCACTGGCGGCCGCGGCCACTCCACAGCGCACCTGTACAATTCCGTCAAGCACCACCCTGCCTGGCGCCTCCTGCCAGCGCCCGACGGGCGCTGCGAGGCGGAGGTGCTGCGGGACCTGCTGTTCGCACTGGGGGTCGCCGAGGGGCAGCTGCTGCCACTCGAGCTGGATTCGCTGAACTGCGGCGGCAACGCGGAGTGTTCCATGCGGCTGGCGGTTGAACGGGAGGGCATGCGGCCGGCCCGCATAATCGTGGTGCAGGTGGGTGCATGCAACGCGTGTGGGCATGCGTGCGTGCATGCGTGTGTGTGCACGCACTCAGGGAAGCACTGTACGCGCTTATACGCACCTACGCGCGCACGTATAAAGTTTTATACACACACACGTGCGCGCACGCACACATCCAAATAGGACACGCACACACGCTCACATGCGTACACTCACGCACGCATCGCCCCCCTTACCCGCGCCGCAGGACCCTACCATGCAGCTACGGACACACTTCAGCTTCACGCGCTGGTGGCGCGGCATGCTGGACCCCTCACACATCTTTAGCTTCAGCCCCCTGCTGCCACAGCTGCGCGTCGCGGGGGCGGTGCGCCAAGGCGTGGTTCAGGGGGCCGCAGGGGCGGCGGCGGCAGCTGATGATGTCATCGACGGCCTTGAATTCGTGCCAGAGTCTGTCTCCATGGCCCTGCCGATGAGCGAGGAGGGATTGCGGCGATGGAAGGAGGAGCTACAGCAAGCAGCGGCGGCAGCTGCGGCAGGAGCGGATGGGGATTCAACGCCAGATGGGCTGAGCGAGCGGGAAGGGGTTTGGGGAGTGGCTCGGTTTGTGTCGCTGCTGCTTGGAGAGGTGCCGAGGCTGCGAGACGCACCTGGCGGGTACGGGCCCAAAGGGGCAGGGTTCATAGACCACGTTGATATTCCCCTGGAAGTGGAGGAGGCATACGAGTGGCTGGCGGGGCGCTACCCGGGGCTGCTGCGACACTGATGGATGCCCTCTTTGGCGTTCAAGCCCACAACATTGGCTGTGCATACAGTGGGGCGTTGCACGTGCATACAGTGGTCCTTCCCTTTCAGACACTCACACTCGGCGCTACCTGATCTCAGCAGTCAACGCTCCTGATTGTCAATGGCAAATGAGTCTGCATTGAATGGTCATACAATGTGCAAGGAATCCATGAGTTCCTTCAGACCCATAACTGGGTTGCTGCACTCTGCTCTATATAATTATTGAGCTGGCACACAACATCGAAGGCTTGGCAGCATTACTCATGCCTAAGCCTGGCACGCACAGCACGGCACTGCAATCGAGGTCGTGGAAGCGCGCGGCTTGCATCAGTAAATCAATCACGAGATCTTCTACATAATAACACAACCAACCTGCCGTTTGCACCCCCGGCGAGCGTTGTGCGTGTCGCTCGGCTCGCGTCTCTCTGACCTGTGCGAGAAGTGCATGTGAGATAGGGTAACTCGTTCACTCCAACTTTCAGTAACCTCCTGGCGCCCCGGACTGGCTAGACGCCCCTTCCGGACGCCTCGACACCGGCGGCGAAGCAGGCTAAGCTTGAGCTGCAATGGCGCGCTCGAAGCAGGTCGCGCGCAAGAGCGCTGGCCCAATCAAGCAAAGAAAGTTTGAGCTGACCATGAGCGGCGCGAAGCCACCCAGAGTCATGGTAAGCATGTCGGGCCACCCGAGGCGTGGTGACACAGCAGCAGGCCGAGCTGCGAAACAAGCGCAAACATCTGCCCCATGCCTCCCGCAAAACATGCGCAGCACTCCTGTGCCCAGAGCATGCCCGTAACACAGCCCAACAACAACAATCGGTTTGAGACTAACCTCAATGTGTACTGCACTCACGGGCTGGCCGCCTCTCCTATCACCCACAGGCTGCGCGCAAGCCTGCACCTTTCCCACCGCAACAGCCGCGCATCCGCGCGCCCCAGCGCTACCGCCCCGGCACCGTGGCGCTGCGCGAGATACGCAAGTACCAGAAGAGCACCGAGCTGCTGATTAGGAAGCTTCCATTTCAGCGGCTGGTGAGGGAGGTGGCGCAGGCTCATGCCGTCTGGCTGGACGGCCGTGTGCAGCCGCTGCGCTTCCACGCGCAGGCGCTCGAGGCGCTGCAGCAGGCGGCGGAGGCCTACCTGGTGGGCCTGTTCGAGGACTCCAACCTGTGCGCCATCCACGCCAAGCGCGTGACCATCATGCCCAAGGACATGCAGCTGGCGCGCCGGCTGCGCGGAGAGCGCTCGTGATGCTTGCCGAGCGAAAGACAGCTCTTTAGTGCATCGCACTGCCTGCCAGTGAGGCATGCTTGTATGCTCGGCGCTCTCGAGTGGGGCTCGCACGTTGACACGTTAACGCATTTTATTCGCATGAAAGGCAGGATGTCGCTTGTTTCTTGGCGCGGGTCTACCCTGCTCCCTGTCCACCTGTAGATGTGGCTTGTGCTGCAAACAGCTGTCCGCCGCAAGTGTACGTTCAACCGCTTCAACTCTTGGTGTCTGCAGTCTGCCACCGCACATGCATCATGTCCAGTCACGTGTTCAGTGTTGTTGTCAAACATCCTGCTGCGTTGTTGCTCGCCAAACACCTTGTTTGATTGCTTGTTGGGGTTGACACATATAATCATCATCATCATTAAGTCTACCGCACCCTCACATGCGCCGCACATAATTAAATGCCCTTGTGTGCTATTTCCAGTGTAACGTTTTGGGCCAAGCGCAACTGACTTGATCCACATCAGCATAGGGGAAAATCCTGCCCCTGTTGGCGCAGTCTCTACCCTCAAACTGTCATTCACCCCGCCTGAATAATGCATCCACAGCGCACCCATGCATCGCAGCCCTTCTGAACTGAAATTCTCTTCAACAACCTGAAATTCAAGTGCGCCTGCACGGGCTTGTGCCACTCCCCTTCCCATCCCTCACGGGCCGCGCGCAAGCCCACGTCCTTCACCCTCACCAAACATGCCAAACAGTTGCGCGCGCGCGCACGACCGCCCCGGCACCGTGGCGCTGCGCGATCCGATAGTACCAGAAGAGCGCCGAGCTTCTGATAGGGAAGCTTCCCTTCCAGCGGCTAGTGAGGGAGGTGGCGCAGGGCCTCTGAGTTTGGTGGCAGGGCCGCGTCCAGCCGCTGCCCACTGAGGGAAGCTTCACGGCGACGAACCTCCGCCACACCTGCGTGCCTGCCATTGTGCCATGCTGTGTGTATCTCCCTATTTGCAGCCTATTAAGTTGCCAGCAGGCATGTGGACACGCGCTATTTTCGAGGATGAACTCGTCCGCCGGAGGGGGCGGCGCCATGTGTGTACCAAACACACACGTGTGGTCTGTTTCCGGTGTGAAAATCGATCAGGTGCACGTTCCTACACGGGGTTTCTGTTTTTACAGTCGGTTGGCCTGTGTCCAGAAGCCTGACTGTCGGGGACCAGTGCATCAGACAGCCCAAAGCAGACAGCAAACAGCTAAAGCAGAGCGCTCACAAACTTGAAACCGATGCGACAAACAACATGGTTTGCTTTTTGCTTTTGGGAAGCCGGAATCACTCCTGCATCGCATCCCCTGCAGCTGCAGCCGCCGCGCCGCCGCCGGCAGCTGTCGCCCCTTTACCCTTTGGCCGCGCCCGCCGCCCCTTCTTCCCCGCCGCCGCGGCCGCGGCCCCGGCCGGCGCGCCGGAGACAGCCGCTGCCGCCTCCGCGCCGTCCCCGGCCGCTTGCCCGGCCTCCGTCTCCTGTATGTGGCGTTCCAGCATCTTCGCTTTGTGTGCCAGCCGCTTCTGTGTCTTCTTGCTGCGCGCGGGGCCGCTGACCGCTTTGACCATCTCCTTGTGCTTCTGGGCCTTGCCTTGTGCCTTGCGCACCTCCCTGATCTTCTTGTCCCGCAGCGCCTGCGGTCCCATTGCATTGTGGTTGCACCAAGTGAGTGGGTGTGAGGCTCAAGAGTAAGGAGCTGGTTGCTGGCATGCAGGGCCCTGTCACTGGGAGGCTGAGCCGACAGGGGCCCGGTGCGGCGCCAGAGGGCGCGCGCGCCGGGCGCGAAGGCAGGGCCCGTCGCCGCAGGGCCGTGCGCCGCTGCGCGAGGCTTTCCGGCCAAGGCTGGCTGACGCCCCAGCGCGCAAGAGCTTGCAATCTGTATCAAATTTGCTGCTCCCTGAGTCACCTGATGCTGCGGGAGGGACACGTAGGAACACGTGGGGAGGGGTGGGGGTAAGTGGAGGATGAGGGTGAGAGTGCAGGGGTGTGAGACTGCGAGGTGTGGCCACGTTCGTGGTGACGGTGACCCCTTGACACACCCACACCCAGACTCACTTTGACCATTTTGACGTTCATCTTCGGCTTCCCCATCGTGCCGGGCCGCTTGCTGCTGCTGCTGCTGCTGCTCGCCGATTATAGCGCCGGCACGCCTTCTGGTATTATCGCTGGGCCTGTGTGGGCCATGTGGGGGGAGTATCGTGTGCGAGATAAGCAGCTGCACACAAACAGTTTCTTGAGCTTGCAGCATTCACCGCGGTCAGACATCTGCTTTGCCTGTGGCGGCTGCACAGTGGCACAGGAGGCAAGGCGACTGCAGCGGCTGCCGCCGCCACGCCAGTGCCACAAGTTCACGTGCTCGGGGAATGGATACGACATATTACTAGCGTGCAAGCTGACCTTCTATACGCGCTTGCGCCGTTGTCTTGCGTCGTTGGTGTACGCTTGTTGCATGCATGTGAGATCAAGCGGGGAGCTAACTCTCTCAGTGAGCAAGGTTGAATTCAAAGTGCATAATGAGCATGATGCGGCCCGAACATGTCGTCCCTGCATGGCAGCATCAGTCAACTTGGCCCGCCAGGTCGTCACCCGCTCACCGAGACCGCTCGCGCAAGGGCGATGCACGGCCTCCTGACTCTGCGGCACCCCTTGCCCAGTCAGAAAGTCGGCGCGATCCGCTTCACACTTATTACAGTGTGATGCGCAGGGGAAAGACAAGGATGTAAAACTGCATTGCACACAGGTGCGTTTGCGCTGTCACACCACCAGTAAGCC